ATGCTTTAAATTTAAAGTAGGAATAAGAGGAGGAGAAAACTGAATAGAAGTATATTAGCTTCCTATCATCTAAATCATTACTTCATACCTTGGAAGAAAAGTGTTAATAAAATTTATTAAACTTTTCTGCTGTGTCCTTTGAACTTAAATCTGCTCATTCAAATGACTATGTTTTCTAGGTGAGAAAGGTTTTAGTAATTCAAAATGCTGTGGTTTATGATGGTGAAATTTTTTATTATATTAGGGTAGCTCTGGATAATTTGTCATGGTTGAGTCGGCGAAAGATTAACACCTTAAATTAAAAATGAGTAAGCTAGACGGCTAAAACTTCTCAGAATACCTCGAGAGTCAAATTGGCAAGGTCTTAGCCCTTGAAAAATCCAGCTAAGCCACCTAGATATAGGAATAGTAAATGAGTTTATAGTTTTCTCATTGCTTAAATTAAAAAGCCTACATACTGCTAAGCATGAGCCAAGAAAAATTTTAAGAAAGGAGTCTTTTTTAAAACATATAATGTAATTTTTACTAAAGAGATTACAATAAATTTTATGACAAAATCTTTGATATTAATATGTATTTTATATAGAGATTGAAATTTAAAATTATTTAATTATAAGTAATTTTTTTGCATATTTAGTTAATATTATTATGTTTACAGTTTAGAGCGATTGAAGCTGTGCAATAATTATTAGAACAGGAATCTATTTTATTTTGATTTAGATAGATTATAAGATATAAAATTAAACTTTATTCTTCATAAAATTGTTCAAAAAAGTGAAAGATATTTTTGACTAATTATTGGTAGTTGACAGTTTGGTGAATTAATTTTTCAAATAATCCCTATAAAAATTTTCTTTTTATCATTTAATTTTTTAGGAGTGTTAAACTGAATATTAAAGAAATATCAAGAGATAAGAAATGCAAAACCTATAAGTATAGCAGGCAAATATTTTCATGATAAGTAGTTGTATAAAATATTAAGAAATATTCAATAGATGTAGTTATAACCCGAATGATATAATATTCTTAGGATAAATCCTTTAATCAAAATCAGGTAAAAATACATTTTATATATTTCCTAATCATACTATTTATAATTAAATAAGCAAAAAAAATTGAGTAAAAAGAATCTGATACAAATGAATTTGATAATTAACTTCCAAATCATTATTGCATTGTAGATATTGAATATAAAACTATCAGATATTGTTTAAATTTGGCTCTTGAATTATAAAAAGTAATCTAATCAATAAATCATAGTCTAAAGAGAATATCAAACTTTATTAATTGTGTTGTTTATCGATAATAAAAAAAGTAATCTTATTATCAATCTTAATCGAAATATATAAAAACAATTTAACGAACTGAACATTAGAAAATAAAAAGGTCTAATTGAGAATAACCTATCTTTTCAAGGGAAGAAGCAAAGAGTATCATCTAAATATAAAGAATTAGCCTTATTTGAATATATTGTTGTTCTCTAACTATTGTAGCAAAATAACAGAATCTATAATTTCAGCCACATCTTATTATTAAAAAAATAGATCCCAAATTTTAATTTATAAATTATATTAAGCCAGCTGATTGAAAGATTGTTTAATTAAGGAATTTCTACTACATTTTCAATTTTCATCTGTGTTATCATTTTTGTAAAAAAATATCCCCTTTTACATTATAATTTCTATCTCATAATTAATCGATAAAAAATTTATCCACCTTCTTATTTTTATTAAGGACAGAGTGCATAGAGCTGAAAATATAAAGATATTAAAAATTTTATTAAAAATATGGTAGATATTTCTATTTGCTAAAAATCATGCAAATTTTATTTTGTAAAAAAGAAAAAAATAAGAACTTATGTAAATTCTTAATTCTACTTTTTCGTTAATCTAATCATCAATTCTGTAAAAAAATTTCTAAAGTTTTCAAAATCAATACTTGAACTTTAAAAGTGTGAAGTAAGCAAATAAATATTAAATCAATATATTAGAATAAATCTTTTTAATATTTATAAATTAAAATCTTGACTTAAAAACTAACTAATGATTTATGTTCACAATAATCACCTATAAAATTCTTTTTAGGTTTTTAATTTTTGAATATTAACTAATTTTTCTAGGGCTAAAATGTGCTCTTCAGACAATATAGTATTCTTATGGTAAAATAAATCAAATATAGATCTAATTTAGGATTTTAATGCCTAAACCCCAGGATAACTTTTAAAAGTTGAATTTTAATTGCATACTGCTATAGCTGAATCTCTAAAATGTGATTTTCATTGAAATTTTCTTTAAATTATTCAAGAAAGCAGAAAAAATGTTAGTTTTATTTTTAAAAACCTTGAGGAGATAAATTATTGTCAATATAAATACCTTAAATAGATAATCTTAATTAGATTATAAAGAAAAAATTTATTGTCTTATTGAATTCTTGGTCAGATTTACAAATAAAAATAAGTAGGCTATTATTTAAAGTAAAAGGTATTATTCAATATTCAAATGCTTTATAACCATATAATAAAAAAATATTACTTTTCTTGGATGATAATGAATAACTATTTAATTTATAATTTACATATAGAAAGATTTACTTTTTTGTAGTTTTATCTCTTTTATCCAACCGAAATCTTTTAAGATTAAAAAATCTTTCTATAAAGTGAAAATTTTGTAGAAATTTTCAGCAACACTCGAATTACTTAGTGAATTTGGATTTTTAATCTATAATCTAAAAATAGTAATGCAGTGCTACAATTCAACTTTTGCTTTACAAATTAATGATCAAATATTATTGAATATTTAAGCTCACTGTTATAAGTGGAGAATTATTAACTCGAGCATCTTACAATTATTGTATTAAACAGGTAAATATAGCAAAAAATTTAGAATAAAAAAAAAATATTTTAACAGCCTATTATAAACAATAGAAGTCAATAGGAAACTATTTGTGATTTATTAGTTATTGCAGAATTTATATTTAATATTTTTAAAGTTATTCATCTCAAACATAAATGAATATAAAATATAATTTAATCTAGAAAATTTTCAGAATTATTTTAATTTTCTACCATATAAAACAATAGAGTTGAGAATTAAAAAAACTAAAGTTTAATCAACATATATAGGAAAAGTTGAATTTTTTGAAAGTCTTATTATAAATTTATAATTTCAAATACCTCAACACATGAAATAGATAATAAATAATTCGCTTAACAATTATTAAAATGATAGATTAATAATTTTGTCACTATAAATTATAAAAATCCTCATTTCTATAACGTATTTAATTTAAGTTAATCTCAAAATACGTTTATCAAAATAAAAATATAGATTATATATTTATAAATAACCTACATTAATAAATTTATATAACCTGTATTTTTGTTATTAAGAGTCTATATAAATAATTGTAAACATAATTTTTAATTAATAATATTTAAAATGAATTAAATAACAAAATTTTGGCTAGTAATATGATACTATTCATATTTGTAATTAAATAAAATAAAAGATAAAATGATAGTCATAGTATTTTGATGAAAATTTTTTTTATAATGATCTTCATTCAAATATTAAATCTAACAGCTTTTCATCTTAGTAAAAAAGACTGAGAGTTGGAAAATATATTTTTGAATGCCTCCTTTCTCGATACTAAGTTGAATAAAATGATGATTATATTAATAAATTAATTTTCTTTTCAATTAACTATCTTTATATGTAAGTTTAGCAGTAGTAAATACACATGAAATGTTGGGTTGATATTAAAAACATAACAATTTTAAGAAATGGAAGAAAAAAATTTATTAAAATATACTAATAGTTTGAGGTGATTTAAAAGGGTTTAATTTAGAATTTAAATAAATAATTATATATTCGGATGAGAATTGGCTTTAAAAGAATACAACTAAGAATATAATTAAAATTATGAATTAATTACAAACATTATTTTAAGAATCAATTGTTAGTATATGGAGTTTAATAAAAAGAGTTCTCAATGTTTAATAATAAAATATAATGATAGAATTGAAAGAACACTATGACTTATAAAAATGTAGAGAGATGAAATATTGGAATTTTTTCAATATTAGAAGATAACAATATTTTGATCCAAATGACAAGTAAATATGTTACAATTATTAAAATCAACTTAAATAAGATTAATTTTAAGAGATTAACACGATCATATTTGGTTAATATAAAAATACTTTTAGTAAAGTTAGACTCAAGATTATAAAAAGTAAATTAACATATAATTTGTAAATTAATTAAATCAAAGAGCCTAAGATACGGTTGAGGATTTTGTTAGGCTCAAGAGTTCCTTTTAAAGAGCCAGACCTTCATAAAATTATTATTTTGTTATTAATACTTTTTATTACTTAGTTGGTACAAGATATATAACAATGGGAAAAATTTATCTGAATTATATAAAATTGTGTATCTATTTTTTAATCTATTTAACTTATATACTACTATAAATTCTAATTAATTTTTAATATTTTTTATTATTTAATTAAATGTTTAAACCAAAAATGATAGAAAATGAAAAAGATTTTAGTTTGTTCTAAAGGGCATAAGCTACAAGTTGTCACAATTGCACTTGATCCAAATTATCAAGGAATTAGAGACTGTTATGCAAGGAATGTTTAGAGAATATAGAATTAGATGCCAAAGTGGTTGGATTGAGAACAATAATTTCTTTAATTGAAGAAAATTAGGGAAAAAAGCTGGAAAAAATATAAAATGTAATAATGAATGAAATAAATTTAATTGAATAATTACATGGTATTGTTGATTAAATGAAATCATTTGTAATCCAATAATTTACCGAATTAATTACTATAATAATGGAGTGGATTCAGAGTCTTAAATAATAAGGATCATAATTTACTCAATATAGTTTTTATGAAGAATTAGAAATTATGATCTTAAAATAAAATAAAGCTGATGATAACTTACCAATATTAATTAATGAAATTTAGAAAACCAATCTTTGTTGGATAACTAAGTTTAATCCTAAATTGGATTACTTTAATTAATTGTGAGAATATAATAAATGTTAAGAAATATTGTCAAATGTAAATTTAAGTTCCTAGAATAATACACAAAATAAATAATAATAATAATTTAGAGGAGGTGAAATCAAATTAAAGTTAATTGACTAATCTGTTAAATAAAGTGAGAGATGTGATGGTATAGCTTTTGATTCTTCTGGGTCAATTATGTTATCAACTTAATAGGCTGATATTAAAGTATGGAGCTTTCAAATGGAACAATTAAATTAATAAAAACTTTGTAAGGACATACCAAATGGATTTAATGTTTAATTTATAGTAAGAAATAGAATTCTTTTATTTCAGGTGATGTGACAATAAGATGCTGGAAATAATAGGACTCAACTAAATGGATTAGTTCATAACCTTATGAAGAACATAAATTATTTGTAAAATGTCTTTTATTGAATTCAAATGAGGATTTACTATTTTCTGGAAGTGATGATGAATCAATTAAAGTATGGAAGGTTGATTTTAATAAAAATATATTGAAATACATTTATTCATTAAATAAATATGAAGGATATGTATTAGCATTAAGTTTAAATTATTCAGAAACATAATTAGTATCATGTGCAAAAGGTAAGAATTAAATTATTATTTGGGAAAGAAAGGAGTAAGATAAATATGAATTCAAATATTTTGTTAAATAATCAATTTAAGAATAAGGGAAAAAGGTTAGGTTTATTAAAGAAAATTAATTTATTTGGGTAACTAGTTGCAAAGAAATAGATAAATTTTATGTATTTGAATTGAAAGAAGGAGTCTTTTAAGAAATTTAGGAAAAGACTATTGATTTAGTTACAAATAATTAGATCTTAGATGAATGTCGCTTTCCAATAATGTATAATAAGGACAAGAATTTAATAATAATCAGACATAAAACATACTTTTATATCATTAGAGAAATGAATAATGGGAATTTCAAAATAGTTGATTAATTTAATTTTGACTCATATTCAATATATGGGAATATGACAAATAATGGTCAATATTTGGTTTATTGGGATGATAAAAAGAAAGGATATTCAATATATGAATTATCAAATAAATGAATAATAATATTAACATTAATTATAATCTTTTTTCTATTTTTTAAGTTATCTATTAGAATATTTGAATAGTACTCAATATACAGATTAAAAAGGTACAGTATTCAATTTGAAGCAGCATTTACAAATGGCTACGATTAGTACTCTTAGAAATCTAGTAAACTATTTGGTTTTCATATTTTTAATATTATAGCTTCTTTAAGATAAATGATTTGATTTGGCATCCATTTGGAGTGTATATAAAGGATAATTTTGGATATAAAAATCTTTTGAATGCCAAAGAATTTAATAACACAAGTAAAGTTTAAAACTATCTATCAGTTTTATAAGCACTTAGAAGAGTAATAATTTTCTAAAATAAATATTTTGACCTATCTAGTTATTTATAATGAAAAATTAAATACATATTCCATCAAAATTATTCTATATAAAATAATTAATATGAAGATAAAAAAATGTATTTCAATAATACATTTATCTTGAATGAAAAAAAAATTAAATTAAAAAACATTTTATTTAAAACTAAAAAATAACAATAATTATTTGTAAATTTATTTTATCTTCTATATTTATTTATAG